AGTTAAAAAATAATCTCCTTACCTAAATCTTGTAATTGTCACATTATCAATAAATGTGTCAAGAAAAACACCCATCTCAGTGTTTAAAAAATGCTTTTGTGCAATATTTTAAACTGAAAGTAAATAATACTTGTTTTAATTCAGATTAATTAAACTTTAAATCAGTTAATCTTCCTGAAATAAAGTTTCAGAAAAGTATATTTCATTTTTGAAAGAATTTTTTAATAAAAGAATTATGCTGTGTTGACAGATTTTTCAATATGGCCGATTTTAGCAATTTCCAAAAAAAAAAAAATAAATAATTTAAGAGTTCGGAATTAAAACTAAAATAAAAGCTTTAAGAAAGATTTTTCATCTTTAAAATTCATTTTAAACCTTAGGCATCACTCACTTTTGAAGGTTCATGCTTTTAATCTATATTTCTTTATTATTTTCTTTAAAAAGGGGGGAATTTGGTTGTGAATATTCTTCTTCAAAAATGTATTTTTCTGATTTGTTTTATGCTGATATATTAATTTTCCTGGGAACTTGAGCATTAAAAAAAGGAAAAGATTAAAAAAGAAAAAGAAAAAAAGTGCAGTAGCTTTACTGGGACCCGGTTTAAAATATGCGTACACTACCAAACTAGATCCTGGTGTCAAACATGACATCGAATACTTAATTTACAATGCAAAAGTACTACTAAATTGAACCCTGAATTTGTGTCCGTCTTTCTAGAAATGTGTAATTTTAAAGTACGGAAGCCTAAAAAGATAAATTTTTTTATCAAGTTAGTAACATTATGAAAAGGAGTTCCTAGTTACACAGGAAAATGCATTTTTATTTATTTTTTACTATGCTGTATTTTAAAACTGAACTAACTAAAATTTAGTAACTAAATTAGAATGATACTTACATAAAAAAAAAAACAAAAAGGGTCTAGTTTAGCCGACACAAACTGATACCATCACCAATATATAAATACAAAAAAAATGTTAATTTCCCAAATCAATGGGGGTCATATTTATTGAAAGCCCGTGAAAAAAATACACGTTTTTCCCTACAAAGATAAATACTTTATTCCTAAGTATAAATTAATTAAATAAAAAAAATATAATTCAGCGTAAATACGTTAGAGAAGCCAGTTAGATTTTTTCGCCTTACGAGTGAAAGAACTACAGATTTTTTTTCATGTAAAAATACTCAAATTCAAACGAAGCTAATTTTATCACCCACAATTTTTGTTCGGAATTAACTAGAGTGCATTTAAAAAAAAAGCATAAAAATCAAACACGCCCCCCCCAAAAAAAAACTAAAAGTTAGTTAAATAAATTAAAATAGTCACCATATTTTTTATTAGGCACCTATGCAAACGTTAATATTTTTTTAATTATTTTCAAAAGATAGTCTGTATTTTTTTCATCGAAAAATCGATTATGCCAATTTTAACCTAGTAAAATGCATATTTCACAAAGTAACAATATACAAACTGTAAACAATAAGAAATAAAATAAACGAAAGCACGTTTATTATAAACTTAATTTTAAAATTATCGCACACTTACTCACCCTTTCTTTACTTTCATTACGAAAGACAACTTTTTTTTAAATTGTCAAGTGTCAAAAAAAAAAACTAAGAAAATTTTCACATCGTTGATTTTAACGTCCGAAAACCTAAAGGAATTTTCGCATACCAAGTACTGAATTGCCTCCCTTATATTTCTTTACCCAGTCTCATATTCTGAACACCTATTTTTCCCTACAAATTAAATTCGTGAAACATCTGTGACCACTAATTCTAGAATTTGTAAAAACAAAAATAAGTAAAAAAATAAAAAAGGTCAAATCTACTGGACATTATTTTTTTTGTTTTTTTTTTTTACTTTTTTCGTTATCAGAAATAAACCGAAAAATAGCGTAACCAAAAATGCAATATAATAAATAAATTTCTTTTTAAAAATAAATAAATAAATAAAAACAATAATAAAATCAATGATATAATTAAATTTGAGGATGATTGAAAAACTGGCTCACAGAAACTGAAAAAATTAAAAATGCCCTTGTCTAGAGTTCTTGTTTTTTTGTACTAGACGAGGTGAGAAAAACAGTATTAAATTCAGTATTTTTCTGTGCAAAGGTTAACTAGTTGTTATACATGAAATAGATTAGATGGGATTTTTGCTACTTTTCTGTTTATTTATGAAACAAGTCTTAAAATCTCGATGTTGAATATGGGAAAAAATAGGTACTCAGAATATGAGGAGAGGTAAAGAAACCTAAGGTTGGTAATTTATCATTTCACATGCGGAATGTGTCTCGGACGTTAAAATCGATGATGAAAATTGTATTGACAGAAAAAGTCGAGAAACAATAAAGAAAGATCAACATGCGAATTTAATGCGATCTCATTTATTTGCCCGGGACCCTCAACTCCCGATTTTTTGTTGTTCTTTTTACTTTTTTTTTTTTAACGCCATGCCGTCTGAAAATAATCAAGGAAGATGAATGGCATAATTTAAAGTTTCTAAAACGTAATAATGATGGAAAGCAAATGAAAGTTGATCAATTCAACATTCAAACAAAAACGCCGATAAAATTTATTATCTCGACATAGAACTAAAAACGTGTTTCACAATTTCTTAATAATAGTTACTCTAAAAAATTCATTCCATCCAAGTGAAAGCAATTCTTTTTAAATTGAAGTTGTTATTTTCTTTTGGGGTTGGGGTAGAAAATGAAAGGAAAAAAAGAAAGAATTAAAAAATAAAAGCCAAAATATCAATAAAAATGTAATTTAAAAAATAAACATTAAAAGTAAAATAAACATTAAAAACATGTTATGTTATCCATTTACACTACACATAAAATATCCTCCATACAAATAACGTCCATTAAATTCAAAAGCTGAAGTTTTTTTTGTAGAGATGGACGGTATTTTTAATTAACAACTATATACAAAATATTTTACACTTGAAAAATAAAAAATTAAAATATATATAAAATCTAAAGTATATTTTTGGAATAAAATTTTTTTATAAAAATACCTATTTTATTTCTGCAAAAATGTACGTAAAGCAGGATCATACGCACATTTTTGGTCATTACGGTACACCATACTTAGGAAAGCTCTTTAAACGTAAAAATGTGTATGTTTGCTGCGTGCAGTACAATTCTACTACCAATCTTAAATGTTTATTTTTTATTTTATGATTTTAATAAGCTAAAAATGAAAAATTAATCCAGTGTTAATTTAATGAATTTTACAAATGAAGAGGAAAAAAATTAAGAGATCTACCCAAACAAAACCATACACACACAAAAAACACAAGAAAAAAAATGTACACACACATTCTTCGCAAATTGTCTACATTACCCAATTTTTTTTTTTTCAACACCTCTTTCCAAATTTCCATCCGATCACCTCACGCTCATGCTCATCGATTCTTTCTCAGCAGATCGATAATTTAATTCCAATATACACAAACTCAAAAAATCAATAATACATGAATAAAAATGATGATGGTGATGACGTTATGAAACTTGAAATTTTAGGCTGTTTTTTTAAGTCATCTCATTTTTAAAAAACAATAATCTTTTTTTTTTAAATTTGTCGAGAGAAACAAAAAAAAAAATGAAAATTTTAATTTTAAGAATATTTAAAATTCTAAGAATTTTTTTGTCATCAGTCATTCTTTAAAATAAAAATAGGAATAATCACAGAAAAATGTAATTGTTGATGTTTTTGTTTATATTCACAAAATGAAACTTAAAATCAAAATCCAAAATAAAAAGAAAAGTCGCTTCGCTGCAGTAAATTTTCATTTTTTCAAAGTTGCCTTGACAAATTAAAAATGATAAAAATAAGACAATCTTGTGTGGACGACACATAGAAGGAAGAAATCTAGGGACCCCTTGCTTAAAACCACTATATTTTTTATATCGATTAAATAATAAAGTAAAATCCTAATATTTATCATTATCGTTCGTTTTTTCTCCTAAACAATAATGACTCGGGGGAAATTGCCTTTTCCCGGACGTTTCTCAGCTCCAAACACCATGACTGTTTTTCTTTCTCTCTCTCTATGTAGACGTGTGTGTGTGTGTGTGTGTGCATGATTTAAATTTGAATCCTCTGTGATGTTTTTATTTTCGCTTACTTCAAGGTGAATCTACAATATCTCCAAATTCCCAGAATAATATTTAAAAGAACTCTTAACTTCTCTTCAGCAACGACTGCTGACGTACGAGATGACTATTCGAATATAACACAGAAGAGGTTCGTTAGCAAAGATTATTTATTTATAAGATAACAAAGCTTCCACTGAACAGGAGGGATATAAACAAAGGCGCAATTTTATGATAATCGATTACAATTAAATTGATCAAATATTATTTTTTATTGATGGGATGGGAGTAACTTTATAAAAATTTTCTCTTTTGTTTTAAAATATTGTTTGATAAAGAATTTTAAAATGTTTGGGATGATTTCAGTTCAGGTAATTTTTTTTTTCAGGAGTCAGGATTTTTTCCTACAATCATAGCCCTGAACTTTTTAAACCATAGCGGGTGACGAATTTAATTTAAAAAGATGTAATTTAATTAATTGTTTGTAAAAAAAAAAAACAAACTCTTTTACCATTTTTTTAACGAATTTAGAATTGGCAGATAATTTTTTTAATTCCAATTATATACACGATGTATTGTAGATTTAAAGCAAATCATTTATGTTTTTTATTTACTTTTATTACTTTGTTATTTTTTTTTTTTTTTACACGAGAGAGAGAGAGAGAGAGAGAAACATGAACAAGAATATCCTTTTTTTGCAGCTTCTTTAACCTCAGAGTGAGAGGTAAATTGCTATGAAGAGATCAGGTATTTTTTTTTTATACCTATAAAATATAAATTTATGTGATAGACTTCTTTTATTCATATGAGATGAATTAAAAAAAGAACCTCTTTCATTGATGATGGATGGTGATGATGGGATGGAAGAAAGGAAGAAATAAAAACTTCTCTATTTACCGGTTCACTCACCCTTGCTTTCTTCCGACGGCTTGTCCTCCGATTATCGCCACCGTCAGAAATAGAGACAGAAGTCGTAGAAGAAGAGGATTGAGTAGAAGTGGACGTTGGGGTACCTCCAGGTGCCCCACTCTGGGCATTAGCATTGTTGCTAGTTGAATTGATGTTGTTGTCACCATCGTCCGAGGAATAGGATCGTTTTCTGTTAGGACCCAGGATGAGAGAGCTTCCTTGTTGTTGGGACTGTTGCTGGCCGTCACGGCTGTTAGTGTTCTGAATAACATTGTCTTCGGTATTATTTCCACTGTTGTTATTTGTAGCGTTATTATTTGTTATCGATGTAGAATTGCCGGAATTATTATTACTGTTGTTGTTATTGTTAGATGCATTACTACCGTCAGACGACTGTTGTTGATTGTTCATTCCAGCTGCCACTGAAGAAGAAGAAGAAATGAGAGATGAGGATGATGAAGACGATGTCGAAGTGGAATTCTGTTGTTGTTGCTGGGTATCCTTTTTTGAAGATGACGAAGCCGAATTGCGATCAGACCTCGAATTGCCGCTATTACTACTGTTATTATTACTATTGTTATTACTATTATTATTGGAGGACGAAGATGAATTGGAATTGTTACTACTGCTTCCACTGTTTGTAGAGCCGAGTTGCATTTTCGAATTCATCACGTTATTGCTGCTGGGGTTGATGGAACACTAAATTTGAATGTATTTGGCCTTCTCTGTAATGAAAGCGAAGAGCTCTTCTTAAGATTTTAAAAAAAAAAGGAGGGTCTTATACAAATATAAAAAAAAAAATATTACAGAGAAGAGTCAAACAAATTCGATTAAACAATCTAGACACATGTTTCGGCACTGTCCTGGCTACTATAACAAAAGACTTTATAGCGTCACCTAGCGGCCAGAGGAAGGGAGACAATCTAACAACGTTAATTCAAATTGTATTTTTTTTTCTTATAATTAAATCAAAGATAATGATAATCAAATCTAAATAGATTTATTTTGCTCTGGTTATTTTTCATTTTTAAATCAACTCTATCCATAAATGCACTGAATTATATATAAGTAAAAAAAATACAATTTAACCAACGGTAAGACTCGAACCGTGTCTAAAAATAAACCACACAAAAAAAAAAAAAACACCAGGTGTTTAAAACGAATCAAATGTCCATAAATATCGACTTAAAAAATAATAAAAATAAAAGTTAATTAAAAAAAATGTACATGATTACGTCAAAAACTATTTCTTATTGTCCACCAATTGATATTATTACCGTTATCACCCTGCTTTCTTTGTTTGTCATCTCTTTCTATCTCCAAATAAGCGAGAATTAGGATTTTAGAAGTATACAGTTGTAGTGCTTTGTTGACACCAAAAAAATGCCATTTTAAAATAAATCGACATTATTTAAAAAAATATTTTTGTTAGAGTGAAAGAGAATTTCATTAAAAATTTTAAAAAATAGATTTGGGGCCCAAATCTATTTTTTCTCTTTCAATTTTTAGCAAAAATATTTTTTTAATAATGTCGATTTATTTTAAAATGGAATTTTTTTTAACTAATTGATCCACACTTTTTACATACAGTTCACTCACAGTTATTTCCCAATAAGCAGAGTTTAATAAATAAATCTAATTAATACAAACGACTGAAGAAACTAAAAAGACATCTTCATCGAAGTCGTTACTCCTCCTAACCGTGACAAAAGCGAATAAAATGTTTTATCATTATTTTGTAAATGTAAAGAAAGAGTTATTCCAAGCAAAAAAGAAAAGGGTGTAACTGAATGAATAATTAAGGGCACGTATTTTTTTAATTTTTATTTTATTTTATTTATTTATTTTTGGCTATTTTTGCAACAAATTTTGATTACGAGGGATTTCAATTTCATTTATGACCTTAGATTTCCTCGGAAATTCCATGTCTTGTTTCTATGGTATGAAGTGTTTTTAGATTAATTTGTTTTGACTTTTTTGTTTGAGGAACCTTGCTTGAGCAACAATTAAAAGTTTTGTTGCTCAAGCAATGTTCCTCAAAACAATATTGTCATCGTCTTCTTCCTTGTCAACAACAGAACCATTACAACCTTAACACTAACAGGCATGATTTTTAAAGTAAATTTGCGTCCGAAATTAGAGATGGTGAGTTTGTACTAAACCCTACCCAAGCAATTATGCAGATTTTTTTTTTTAACCCAACCGGCAACCACAATGTCTTTTTTTTTTCTTCAATATTCTTTAATTTACATTTCTAAATAAAAATTTTTAAGGCTAAAACATTTTTAATGTCATCATTTAATTAAGTAAAAAAGTGTTAATAGATTTTTTATTAAAAAAAAAAAGCAATCCGAAATTTTGAATTCAGTATATTTGCCAATTGGCATACAAACTTTTCCATTTCCCCAAATTTATATATCCATAACTAAGTTCTTTTAAATTTGTGGTTCATTTTTTTCGAGTAGATATTTGATTTTATTTCGTGTAATTAGTAAATGTAGATAAAATGCATTAAGAGCAGGTTCTTTGAACAAAAAACAAACAAATAATGTTACTTATTGGAACATATTACTTATTACAACTAAAAATATTATAAATGTTACCAAAGAGTTATAATAACTGAATATTTTTTCTCGGCAACTTGCAAGGAATGTCTTCTGTGAAATTCTTAGTGACAATTGGAAATTTCACTGGAGAATTGTTGAGAGCTTGAAGATCATTATTTTTTAGCAATTACTTAAAGACTATGTGTCTTTTTAGAGCGTCTGGACACTGGATAATGTTCAGTAAAAACTAGTTAACAAATAATACATTTTATAGTAAATACACTGACAAACATCACAGGGAGCTCCATATTTATGACCTTGTACCAAACTAAGTTAAGCTTCTTAAAACTTATATTTTGATGGAAAGTATTTTGACTTAGAATGGTAGATGAAAAGTGACACTTAAAAAAAATATTAGCACCACAAAGAAGCTAAGCATTATTTTGAAAAATATGGTCTTTGGTATCTCAATTTTAAAATAAGTTTTTTATTTTTTTTTGTTTTTTTACAACGTGAATAAAGTGGTGAGGGTTGTGGGAAAATAATCACAAAGAATTATTTACATAAAATTTAAAATTAAATTACGAAAACTATTGGCGGTTTATTTCATTATTTTTTTTCTAATTAGGTAATTATTTTGTACAACTTTAAGAAGTGTGATTCCAACTTCCAATTCAGCTGACGTCACACAGGTATGCAAGTGTCGTTTCTTTTCACGCTGACTTGGCACGAGTATTATTTTTTATGACAAAAGACACAAATGTAAGAGAAAGAAAAACAGAACAATGAAAGAATTTAATTTATTTAGATACGAACAATTTATTGAAATACAAATTAAAATAATCTTATTTAAATGCAGAATTATTTGAAAACTTAACTCACGTAGTCACGCACCACACAAAAAAAGAATGACAAAAAGCTGACCGTGTGACTTTAGCTTACCAAATTTCCAAACATCAAACCGAGTTTTCAGGGGTTTTTTTTATAGGTGTATTTAAATAATAAATTATCCAATGGCACTTAAACAGTTGGGATTATTAAACAATAATGAAGGAAATCGATAACTTCATATCTCTAGCTAGCGTGAAACCAGGACAGATAGCAAACTTAAACAGAAACTGATATCGCATATCTGCGTGACTGAAACCAGTCTTAAATAAAATCGTATTATTTCAGTTCACTGGATAGTTATTTAATGTGTAGCACAAGGCCACAATTGTGAAGCACCTGGTGGGAATCGAACTCGCCAAAAAGAGTTTCAAACCCAAGAAAATTAGTCGGTTGCTACAAAAAGCATGGAATTAAATTATGAAAAAATATTGATAGCTTTTTGAAAATGGTCGATTTATGTATTATTAGTATTCCTTTTTTATTTTCTTTGTTTCTAACGATAAAAAAAAATCATAAATGGTCTGTCTCAGAAAGCTAGATAAATGCTCAATCTCTGTAAGTCGTCTCTCCAGGTAGTAACTGCATCTGTTTTTACGAGTTGGGCGAGGGTTAATCTCCGGGGTTCTGAGGCATCCCCCAAAATGCCGAGGAAGCTGAAACAATTTTTTAACCTCTACTCTCTACTACTTTGTGAGTTGTGCCATATTATGTTCGAGTGAACGTATGTATGAATTTAAATTAAAAATTAAGGTTCAGTCCGACTGGAGATATCTTTTTTTTTTTCTTTTTAAATGCTCTTTGCCGTTCAACGACAGTGAATATAAGCATGAACAATAGCAGCCCATCCACTGTCAAAAAAAAAAAAAAATCCTCATCGTTAATTTAGTATACAAGCTAAGAAAAAGGCTATGATTGTATCTCTGTATGATTAAATAAATTAAAATGTTTTTTAGTTTACACACGATAATCCACCAGGCCAGATTTTCTTTAGGAGACATCTCTGCAGTAAATTTGAAAGATCACGGATTTCAGAACAAAAAAAAAAGTAAATGGATCATGTTTTTGTTTTTTTTCTTTCACGAGAACAAAAATAAATTTATGAAAAACAAAGTTGCACGTCAAGATATGTGATGTACTTTTAATTCAATTCCTAAAAGAAAAAAATTTATTTTTGTTCTCAAAATAAAATATAAAATGATCCATTACTTTTAATTTTTTCAGTAACTAAAAAAAAGTATTTCAATTTGCTGAATTGAATTTGGGAACAGTCGATATCCCATACGTTTTACTTTTTACTTTCAGTCTTTTAGGTTTGCCTAAAAATGAGTTTTTTTTTGTCCTCTCTTTCAACCCCCAAATCAGAAAAAAAATTGAATAAATTATTGAATATATTATTGATTGGTCAATATTGAAGGTTTGAAATTGAAAATAATTTGATAGGCATTTAATGTAAAAAAAAACTTGATTTTTGTCGAATTAAATAAAGATCGTATCAGCTTTTATTATTACTGAATGTCTCCATATCATTGTTATTTTGAAGGATTCAAATTGTCTGTATCCCCCCAAACATTGGCAACATACCATCCTTGTTATGGCTGCTCTTACGAATCCAGATGAAAATCAAGTGGTTCTAACAGCATTTATTTAATTGAAATAAAGACGCAATTGAACTATTTTCTATCATAAAAACAAATATATTTTTAAAATTTAAGCCCCCAAACATAGCTTTGATCAAATTTACGAACGTTGTTCAGATAACTTTTAAAAAATCTCGAAGACTTGCTATGGCGAGAGACGAGCGTTGACCTAAATTGGTAGATAACTCCGTTTTAAAACTGAGCAGTTATAGATTTTTAAATACTTTTGTTAAATGTATATTGTACAAAAAGAAACACTTTTCCAGGAAGAATGTTTCTTAAATAATTCACAGGCTATGAAAGAAAAGAATCATCTTGAAATATTTTTATTATTTCACACCTTGTTCAAGCGCCCACCCCTACCACTCAAACAAATTCAGACGTCCTCATTGTAGCAAACAGAATTTTTTAAGCATACTTCATTTCCATCATAAAAGCTATAAAACTAAGGAAACGTTTCTAAATGGAAAATAAAAATGTTCTTTTATAAATAACAAGTTTTTCATGTCTTATTTTCAAACATAAAACTTGCAACCTGGGATGCTCGTCATTATTCTTTGTTGTTGTTGTGTGTCTTCTTCGTTGTTCTTACATAACGCTGATATATATATCATAAGGAGCATTATAAAGATTTTAAACATTTAGGAACAATTCATTAAAAGAACCCAAAGACAAAAGTCGAAAAAATTTTCACTTACATACATTTTTCTAAAAAAAGAGAAAAACCGGGTATTTACCGCAGTTTAAACGGATTATGGCGCCGAGTGTGCTTCGTACTCGCTTCGTGATGACGCTGTTTTCTATTCTGTCTTTTTTATTTATTTTTTTTCTGCATGCAGCATAAAAAATGAAGTTTTAGGCTACATCTTGATTGTTATATCGGATATTATTTGAAAGTGATCATTTCCTCATTCCTATTCGATTCAAGAATTTAAAAATAATGAATAAACCGTCAAAAAAACAAAACAATAGAATTTATTTGTTTTTAGAGAATTTCAATGAAAAACTTATTTCAAGATTATTTTTCTTTTTCTAATCCAAGATTTTAATTATAATTTCACATTTTTAATCAATAATAAATAAAAAATAAATAAAATGAAATACGAATTAATTAACTAACTAATAATTCAAATGTCCACTTCCTCTCTAAACACTGGAAAATCTTGACATAAGGAAGCATATTGCATACGAATCGAGTATCGTTTTAATGTTTGTTTAGTTTACCGTTTTTTACTCAGCGTAACTTAGTTTGGCACAAGGCCAAAAGTATGGCGCACTCAGTGAAGATCAAACTCACTACTAATGATCTACATGTCTAGTTTGATAACCATTACCACGAGGTGCTCTGTTTACTTAAATTGGCTTAGTTTGGCACAAGGACACAAGTATAGAGCACCCAGTGAGGATATTCAAATTCATTACTCAGTCAAACTCAAAAGTAATGGTCAGTTAAACTAGTTTGACAACCATTATGTCAACTTGAGACAACCATTGTTCAATCGATGTTGCTATGCAATGATTGAGTTGATATGTAAATAAAACACCCAGAACTGCCTAGAGTTATCAAATCGTAACAAATTATGCAGCACTTATTTCGATTAACGCGTTACTTAAAACATTTACTTTGTTACTTATATAAATGCAAAAACAGTCTTAGTTGGCAATAAGTGACAAATGTCTATAAAAAGCACTGTTGATTATTTACAGCTAATTTGTTTAAATTAGACATTAACTATTGTTTACATCATGTGGCAATAATTGTAAGTAAAATAATGCACTAAAGTAAGTAACCAAGAAATCGTTTTAAGTTCTGAGAATATCAGTGCCTTATCAATTTAGATTTTGCAGTTTCAAAAAAGTGTATTTATTGTCACATTTTTTTCTTAATTTCTTCAGTTTTTTGAAAACACCTTATAATCCATTGCTAAAGATGCTGAAAAATATTGTCAGTTTCTTGTACCGTTCCAAAAAGTACCCGACTCATCCTGCTATGCTCTACCTTTACAAGTCGGATCAGGCCAAAAATGAAGTACTGATGCCATATCTGGGCTGGAGTTACTCCATTTTCCAGCCTTGATAATTATTTTTAACCCTACAGCCCTTTCCCCACAGGCAAAACATTGCTAGTCTATCACTACTTTATTGCTATTTCCATGGGAAATGTTCCAGTCAGCTATATTCCTTAATTCCACTAGTTCAGCCTTTTCGCTAAAATCTGCCATGCCACTTACACAGGATCAAATTATTCTTATTTCCCCCATATTCCATTGGTAAGAAGTAAGTTCCACTCAGTCATCCTTCTTGAGAATTGCTACTTTAATGGAACAGACTCCCTTTCCCTGATCTTAACCTATTCAACTCTTGGGTCAACCATTATCTATACTACATATCCTCATAATCCACACTTACTTCCTCCTTTTATGTCTGTACAATAACTTCATTCATTAACCCTTAGATTTTTCACTCAGACTATCAAATTAATTTCAATGTTCATCTTTACACTTTTCAAATAGAATAAAAAGGAATTCATTATTTTAATAATACAGATAAAAAGAAGCAGACACCTGTGACTTCCACTGTAGCTTTTGACATTTCAAACCCTGGTGGACATTTTTTTTTTTTACAACCACCACCATAAACAACTTTCATACTTCTGCAATTTTCAGTCAACACTCACCCTTCTAGAAACTGGTTGCGCATGTAACATAGCAGTTAATGCAGAAAGTAGGATTAGCATGCTGAGTTCAAATTCCAGCTGAGAATTGCATTCATTTTCACACAAATACCCTTGGAAAAGTATGAATATTTGTTCTTTCACTGTCAGCTAGGGGTTAATAGCAGGGCAGACTGAGCTCTCTAGCCTTGGTTGACAACCAATCTAGGAGAAGGATAGCTCTGAATTCAAAACTGGTTGGTGTGGGGCTTGCAACTCTGTAAAAACCTGTTTATTACAGAAACCATAGCAGCAACACAGTATGGTGAGACTGTGACCCTATACTCCACAAGGGAATCCACAGGACTTGTATACATACCTCCGGAAACTAAATTTCTCTCATTGATCACTCAGTCCCATGAACTGCCACTCTGTGAAACAGACATCCATGCTTCCCTGATCTCTTCAAATCAAGGGTCAATTGTCATTAACCTTTACCTTGAGTAGTATTTGAGCCTTGTATTGGGCGAACTTTGGTATTTAAAAATATCAGTTTTAGGTATGACTAAAAACACTATTACTTAATGGTGTTACAATGTTTTTCTTCTTAGTCCTTGATCTTATTCTCAAAATCTTAATTTTTATACTTTTATGACATTGCCACATCATTTGTGAATTGAACTGGTGTTTGAGTGACTATGATCGTTGTTCCATAGTGGGCTATACTAGTTGTGTCATTGCATTAGTTTGTTGTGAGGTTGTTCTGATGATATGTTGACCTTGTCTAAATGTACTCCTTTTTTTTTTTTTTTTTTTTTTTTATATTTATATAATTTTGTTTGGGAGTTTAAAAAGACATCATCAACCCCACAATGGAAATTTGTAAATTACAAACATCATATAAAAGATACAAAACAATAAATGTAAACAAAAATGATAAAAGGTTTTTGTATACATTTAATAAAGAAAATTGTATGCTTTAAAGAACATATATGTATACAAAGATAAAAAGTTTATGCTTACTTGTTTGGGTAGCAACATGTGCTATCGGGGTGCTGTCCCCAGGCATCTGCTTCATTTGGGCGCCAAAGATATTTAACAGTTCCCCCACGAGGAATGTATGTGGCACAAGGCCAAGGTTAACGTGGGTTTCTCCGAGCCTGTAGGCACGGACAAAAATATTGCCTTAGAACTCACATAAGTGTGTTCAGGATCTGTCTACCTCCCTGGACGAAACTTTGCCCTTCGGCAAAGCTTCGTCCGGGTACCTCTCTGCCAAAACAGAGAGTTCAACAGAATTCAGTCAGAAGGGTGCCGAAGATGAGAAAATTTGATTTCTGTTTCAATTGTCAGTAAAAATGCCTGTTTTGTTTCATGATGAGAGTTTTCATATTTATTTAACTATTTTTATTATAATCTCACTTTTTCTTTCTATATTGTTAATTATCATTCTTATCTATATTTTAAAGTAATTTTATTCCTTAACTTTTAATTTTTCTTTTATTACTAATTACTTATTTTCGTTTCATGCTCCTACATAGTCTAGTACTAAGGGTTAAAGGTTATTTAGTGATTTTTTTGTTGTTAGCACAATAAGTTTTCACAGGTATCATCAGGCCACTACACTAAAGTCACACTATCTCTGTTTGGGAATACCAGATGCCATAAGCTTGCAATTGTGGGTGGTGCAATGGATAATGGCTCAGAATTGTTAATTGGAGAGCCGAGTTCCATTGGGTTCATTATATTTACTTATGCACAAATATTTTGGGGAAAGGTATGATCCACATCTCCCCCCCCCCAGCTACAGGTTAATTAGTAAAATTTGTATCACTAAACCATTATTATCTCAAAAAAAATTCTTACAATATAAAAAAAAATATTTTCTGTTTTTAAATAACCTGCAAAGGGTTGATAAGTTATAGAAAATCAATTAATCGAAACATGACTGATGAAAGGAAGGACAAACAAGTTTTTGACCTCACCTGTATGATGATTGGAAATTTGATGCAAAATTATGGACCCAGTTCACCAAAACAGAAAAGGCAACAAAGATTTGCAATTTAGAATTTGTTCCCAAAAGCAAAAAGGTGTCAACAAGAAAATGAGACTAGCTATGCAAAATGAAGGAATCAACATTGATGATAAGAATGCTTTTGGGCAGATTTTTCTGAGGTAAGTAGTTTAAGAAAGATCATCTTGTATATGCATTTAAAAATCTTTTGAAGAAAGAGTCAAATACCATAGATCAATTTTATTTTTATACTAATGTTCACCCAATACAAGGCCCAAAAGCCACCCAAGATAGAGGTTACTCTGTGGTGTTGTATAAGCATAAGAAAAAGCAAGAAGTGAAGTTCATGGGGTTATGCAGAAAAGAGAACAGTTTACCCTAGACTTGAAAAGGTCAAGAGATAGTGATTGTAGTGTATCTTCCTAGGAGTCTGTTCCACAAAGCAACAGTTTGGGGGAAGAAGCTGAGTGGAACTTACTCCTTACTAATGGGATACAAAGGGAATGGGGATGATTGTGTAGGTGGCATGTCGAGTACCGGCTGCAAAGGTCAGGGCTGGTGGAACCAAGGAATGGAGTGCATCAGAACACTTGCCATGAAAATAGCAAAAGGCTTAAAACGTTTCGTCTGTGGTGAAAAGGGTTATGGGGTGGAAAAATAATTCATCATTCACAAGGCTGTGTAGATGCTTTTGAACTCTATGAAGACAGGCAAGTTAGGATTGGGCAGCTCCATCCCAGATATGGCAGCAATACTCCATTTTTCATCTTATAAAGTATAGCAGGGGGAGTCAGATACTTACTGGAGCGGTACAATGGACCAATCATTTTTTTCAGCAATAGATCAGACATATGAGTACCACTTGATGTCTGGGGAGAGCTTGATGTCTTGAGAGTCCCAATAAATGTCCAAAGCAAGCAGCCTCCTTGATAGAAGACCCATCCGTCAAGAATAATTATGAGAAGAAAATTAAATGTTAGAAAAGCAAGCCATCACATTGCCTGAAGTATTTTTAGTTATGCAGCTTATCAAGAGTGCTGGATTGGATAAAAAAGATAAACAAATTGTTCTTAAAGTAGTTTACTATGCCAAGAAAGAGATGTATATGCAAATGAAGAATTGCCTTAGAAAATAGCTGACATTCAGCCCTCATGAGGAGGTAGATAAATATATTAAATTTTTTGACATATTCCCATGAATGTCATTTCAGTCATGTGATGTTAAAATCTCTTCCATTGTCATAGCATGGGAACTGACATTCACTTTAAACTCAGATAATAATATATATATATATATATATATATATATATATATATATATATATATATATATATATATATATATATATAATCTCTTATAACTATATACATTATATTTAGTGAATACATGTGTTTGCAAAGACATCTCTGTTTTTTAAACTGTATATACTTTCATGAGTAATTGAGAATCCTTTATCCGAAATTCTCGGGTTTGGATGTGCTTCGGTTTTCAGATTTTTTTCAGTATCCATAAA